TAACACGGTTAAGTTAGCAAAGATCAAAGGGATGCCATTTAGTCACCCTGAGATCAAACTTTTGCTGCTTCTTTTTCCGGGCTGAGAGAGAAGAAGCGATGAGTGTGACCAATAATCTAGTCTCAGATACTTTCACTTTCCCCTTCAGAGTGGTTTCAGCCTTCCTCCAGCCAAGAAACCATACTCCAGACACTCTAGGTGCAGGGACCTCACCTCAGAAGATGACCTCACCACTCCCCTTTGGCACAGTTTTTCTACTGAAGGTCCCTTACAGCCATTTGCAAACCGGTTTCTGCCCCTCAAACTCTTATTTGAATCCTTGCAGCATGTGATGAGGAGGCATTTGCTGACCTCTTTGCAAGGGGCAACTCGGGCTTGAGGTAAGTAATCTACTTAATAAGCAGGTTGCCAACTTCTACACACCCTACCCCCGGGGCCGAACACAGGCATTCTTTCCTTGGTCAGTGATTCTCCATCTTACATGTGCCCAGGCCTTATTGCATGGTGTAACTCTAACCTCATGTCTTCTGAGACGTCTTTCCCTGTGACCCCTCCAGTGAGGCTGAGTCAATCCTTTACTCCACATGCCACAGAAGACAGCAGCAACTGGTTCTACTAATTAAACACTAACCACCAACGACTGGGGGCGTGTTTCTCTCCTACCCTAGAACACTTGTCCTCGGGGCTGAAGCTCAAGACCATCTGAGCCTCATTCACTCCATCTCTTCCTGTCAACATCGACACCCAGTGCACCTCCAACTAAACTCAGTAATAAAAGACCATCACCTTTGATAGCACTCTAAGACCGAGGTTACAGATACATCAATATTCCATTAGGGAGAAACAAAGTCATTATTATTCTCAATTCATAAATATAAAAGAGATCTACCTTTAAAAAAAAAAGTTTGCAGTTTACGTAGGAACAACTGGGAAAAGACTGGGAGGTTTCTTATAAATCACTAATTTGATGCTTCCCTCTCCGTAGATCTATTCCTTGCTGACTTCTGCCCTTACTCACTGAGATGCCACACTAAAATGAAATCAAAGTGGCTGAAGCCGCAGTTCTAGTCACCCAGGGCTTTGTGCTGAACATGCTAAGTCTTGCTGTCATGCTGTCCAGAATCCCCAAAGACAAAGTTGCCAGAAAATACCATTTCTTACAAGGAAGAATATTTCCCAGCACCTAAGGGGAAAGAAGAGGTGACTATTCTCATTATAGGTTCTGTCCCTGAAGCCCAATATCAGACAGCAGGAAGGTAAGAGGGAAAGAGGCTGTGCGTACAACAGGCGGTAGGTAGGGTACAGGACTCCCAAGGTCACTGTCACAGGGCAAGACAATGCAGAGTTTCTTCCATCCTGTATTCTTGCAGAGGCCATTTCAGTTTTAACTAGAATTTGATCTCCTTGATGGAGACTTCCATAAAAAATTACCTAACTTTATACTATGTGCCCTCAGTCAAGATGCCCCAACCAACTTGTCTTAGCTTGTTAAACTGCCTACTTGTGCAAGCCCCCTCCTCCAGCTAACCACTTGTCTTAGCTTCTGTTAAACTGCTTGCTTGTACAAAAACTCCCCTGCAGCTGTGGAGCAAGATACCAGAAAGGAGCTTTGGCCTTTAAAAACCCCTTACCCCAAACACTGGGTGCTACACTTGGGTCCCTGAGTGTACTCCCAGCCGACTGGAATAAAGACTTTCAATTGGCCACAAGATGTATCTGAGTGGTTATCTCTGGTGGGATCCCTGTAACAGTCCTCACTTTCCTTCTGGCATCTTTAAAATAGTTTCTAGTTTCAATATTCTGTGATATTTAAGGTTATTTCTAAGTCTAACAGTCATTAAGAAACCCAGAGGTAAAGCTAGTTTATTTCTAGCATATACTATTTTCCTTTCCTTTTATGTAGTCCTGCATAAATTTTCATCATGTTCCTCTTTAGAAGGAAGAAATACTTTATTACAACTAAACATGTAGTATCTCGATGAAGATAGACAGATGCATGCTTTCCATTTGCTCTGTGTAAGATGGAATAGAGTATCCCTATCCTATTCAAAGGAGGGTAAACACTCTCATTTCAAAACTACTTTGAATTGAAAAAGGAAAGGAAATCTGTAACCTCAGTTACACACAAAAGTCATTTATAAAAAAAAAATTCAAAGACTAGAGAACTGGAGAAATTCCAGAGGACTTAAGCAATTTTTAATGTACCTTAGCTACACACCAGGGAAGGGGGCACACTTTCTTTTTCTGACAATTAACATGATTTCATGTTAATAGAGATATAAATCATCTTCAAAGGACAATTCCAGTCTAAAATTAAGGACATTCGTTTATGCTTTTAAAAGTGCCAAACCAGTAATAAGAGATCAGATGTTCACTTTGCTCTTTCTCAGAAGGAACCAGGGTCCTTTTTGTTTATTCACCAAGGTACCTGACATCAGAGAAAGTGCCTGTACCAAAGCTTCCCATGGTCATTACTTCATTCCAGAAATCCATGTACAGAGGCAATGTCATAGCAAAGAAGTAATTACGGCTTTAAAACACTATGATGTGCTGGGCATGGTGGCTAAGCCTTTAATTCCAGCACTTGGAGGCAGAGGCAGGATGATTTCCGTGAGTTTGAGAATAACCTGGGCTACAGAGCAGGTTTCAGGATAGCCAGGGCTCTATACACAAAGTGACCTTGTCTCAAAAAACAAACAAACAAAATAAATAAATAAACAATGATGAAGAAAACAAAATCACGGTGACACTTATGTGGTCAAATAAACATTAATTAACTACAAATAAACATTAATTCATTGTGTCTACAGAGAACAAAAGAGCAAGTAAGGCAGTTTTTTGTGGGGGGGGCTAGGGTGATGGCTCCGGGGAAAAAGCATTTGCTACACACACATGAAGACCAGAGTTTGGAACCCCAGCACCTACATAAAGCCAGGTGGGCGTGGCAGCCAGCCAGTCAGTAATCCCAGCACTCAGGAGACAGACAGGGAATCCCCCAGGCAAGATGGCTAGTTAGACTACTGAATCACTCTAAAGATCAGTGGAAGACTCTGCTTCGGAAAACAAAATGAAGGAACCCAGGAAGACGCTGACTTTAACTTCTAGCCTCCAAATGCAAACACACACACACATACCCACACAAGAAAACACGTAAATTCAATGATTGCCCTTCTTAAATAATTCAAGTGAAACTGATATCTAAAAATTCAGTATGAGGATTATTGATAGGTCTACTGAATATACATAGTAAAATGTGAACTCTAATGGGTAAAGGCACTTGTCATTAACCCTGACAACCTGAGCTCAACCCCTGGAACTCACATGGTGGAAAGAGAACCAATTCCCAAATGTTGTCCTGTGATTGCCATATGCACTCCCCTTAGTAAATATAAACGTATGTAATAAATTTTTGAAAAAGAAAAACTATGAAATATTTACACAAGTTAATATTCACTTCATAACGGTCCTATTGCATCTGAGATGTCTCTAAAATATTTTTATTTCACATGTTCTTAAGACAGAAACACTCCAGAGATGTTCTTCACTATGAAAACTAATTCTAGTAATCAGCTGTGAAATCAAGTGATTTAGGTTTAGGCTGGGGCTATAGTCCAGAGGTAGAGGACTTGCCTTGCATACACAAGAACCTGGGTTTGATCCGACATCACATCCATGAATATAAAACTCAAATGCTCTGTTATAATGATTTTAGTATAATTTCATAGTATGGTGTTTTTACTATTGGATACAGTATATCTAAAAATGTAAGAACTAAAAATAATGTTCTTTAATTGGTATCATTTGTATTCAGCTACCTGAGTGATTCAATTAGCTAAGTATAAAAATATAGAAAGATGATCAAAATAAATTTCTAAACACTTACACAAGACACTCAAGAGGAAAGTAAGTCTGTGAATGCATGCACATGTAGGTCTATGTTGGGAATACAGGGACACAAATTTCAATTCTATGTTATGAAGTCAAGTCAAACACAAATCCTGAGTTGTCTGAAAGGATGTTAATTAGAAGCAACACATGGGACAAGCAAAAGCTTAAAAATCTGAAATAGGAAAAAGTGGAGCAGAACTTTGATCTAATCTTGCTTTTGCTTTTTCTTTTTCTGTGTATAGATATTTTGCATGTATGTCCGTGTACCATGAGTGCAGTGCTCACAGATGCCAGAAGAGGGCATTAGAACTGGAGTTAAAGCAGGTCATAACCTGTCATGTGGGTGCTGTTAAATCAGCTCAGGTCATTTGGAAGAGCAACCTATGCTCTTAACCACTGAGCCATCTCTTTAGCGCCATCATTTTTATTCTTTCAAGACAGGGTCTCATACAATCCTGGCTGGTCTCAAAACTCCCTAGGTAGCAGAGGATGACCCTGAATTTCTGATCCTCCTGCCTCACCTCCCAAAAGCAGGATGACGCCAGCCATCCACACATAGTTAGAGCTTTTTTGTCTTACTATAAACTTCACATTGTTCCGTATTTTTTTTTTTTTTTATTTACTTTCATTAGTTTAAATCCGGGAAGGGTACAGCATCACACGGATTCTGTGTCCGATGGCCTTTGCAGGAAGGTTGCTTCGGAATTTGGCACGAACCATGCCACTGTTTCCATGGGCCCGGGTTACTTTTCCCCAGATAACTCTGGTTTTGTTTGGTTTGCCTCCAGGTGTCACTGTGTTGTTTTTTGCTTTATACACATAAGCACATCTCTTGCCCAAGTAGAATTCAGTTTCATCTCGAGCATAAACACCTTCAATTTTAAGAAGAGCTGTGTGCTCTCTCTGGTTCCGGAGACCTCGCTTATAGCCAGCAAAAATGGCTTTGCACCAAAGCCTTCCAGACATATTTGCCTTTTAGAAGTCCTGTTCCCAGCAGGCCTTCACCGGCGCCAAGATGGCGGAAAGAGTGTTCCGTATTTTGAACTGTGTACTCACTTTCCCTACATAAGCATTACATTTTCAAAAGCACACATTAATGGAAAGTGTCTCACCAATAGTCATAGCTCTCATCCCAGTTGTCAAAATGGACCAGGAACCGATTGTCCACCATGTCTGTTACCGTGGCAACACAGATGAAGGAAGGGTTCTTTTTGTCTACAGCCTCAAGCTTCATTCCCACTCGAAAGCCTGATGGGATCGCTGTCTATGGAAACATGCAGATTTAATTAGAGATAAGCACACTTCACAACAGTGCGATCTACAGACTCTGTACCCCAGCTCCAAGGACAGGCATCCATTGCTGTAGTCACCTAATATAAAATGCTACGCCAGCCTCACAGTGGGGTTGCTGTGCACCGGCAACAATAAAAACGAAGCTCTACAGTTACATTCAATTAACTATCTGGGCCTCAGAACTGTAACAGCGGCAACCTGGCAGAGTTTAAAATAATTACTTTCAGTGTGTGTTTTAATACCTTAGTTATACTAGGCAGGCAAGTTTTATTCACCACATGGCCTGATTGTCTAGCCTTCTTTTCCTCGATTATAGATTGGACAATAAAAATTATTTCACACAAAAGGTACACTTAATTGGGTAAAAAAAATGCAAAGTCAGTACAAACTCGCTTCCACCTCTGAGAAGATCTCTCCAGTACTGTACAGAAAGTAGGTCACCATCATATACGAAAAGCTTCAAGCTATTACAACTGTGGCTTACTACTACAGTTTTTATTCACAGCAGCAGCAGCAGCAGCACAGGAGCTGGCTGTTAATACACGGGGTCATTAGGACTATTACGTATTTTAAGGCAATGCACAGATTACCAGACATCTGGGATCTACAATGAAAACATTAGAAGTTCACTAAGCAAGTGCCTGAGTGACAGTCATGTGTAAACAACCCTTACAATCTTCTGTGGAAAAACATTCTAATCTCAGAATAAGACACTTGAATATTCATTATGTTAACTACGAAACAATGTAAGTCATTTCCACCCTCCAATAAAACCCCTTCATTTCAAACTGAAGCATACAGGCACTATTCTAATGCTTTAAGCAAGCCCGCTACCTTTCATTTTACAGTAGAAGATTAAAGTGAAAGTAAAATTATATGGCTACGGTTGCAAAAAATGTAAACAAGTATATCTGAAAATGTTGCAAGGCCTGAGTGAGTGAAAGAGTGCAAATAACCTATAGAAAACTTACCATCTATTTGAACCCTGAAATTATATATCATTTATGACCATAAATATCTGACCATTCTGATGCAGAGAATCTAGAAATAGAAAACTTAATTACCTCTCAAATACCAGCAGACAGCCTGAGATTAGGCTGAATGCTAACCATGCCCAGAATGTAGTGATGGTTCAAGGCAGCTCATCACACCGAGATGGAAGTCAGCATCGGAGGAGCAGCCGTGGGGCAGAGACAGCAGGCTGCTGAGTTTCCAACCAACTGACCTTCCTCCAGGGAAATGTCTTGTCAGAGAATATACACTGACAAGGCAGTATTTACATTCCAGTGATTAAGCTGTCTGCCCAATTAAGAGATAATAAAATAGGCTGACCGTATTTTCTCTCTCTCCTTTCATTCTTATTTCAACCTAGTTTATGTTCATTTTCATCAGAGAACATTTCTTCCATTAGATTTGCATCCTCAAACCAGCTCCCTGATACCACGGTCTGGATGGAAAGTCCCCCCCCCTCCCCATTGCAGATACTTTCTCCATTTGGAGGGAACCCTGATAGTGATGCTGCTGTCTCTTAACCTCTTACTCCCTGCTACCTAAAGGATGAGCCTAGGAGAGGAGGATGCTGCACTATTAAGAGAGCCAGACTGTGGGCATGTGTTCTACTCTGTCTGCTGTGGCTCCAGGGCTCTCCGGTGTTGCCGGGGGTAAGGTGGGATAGAAAAGAAAACCTTTCATTCCAGGGCTCAGAATCAAGAGACTCATTTGTCTGCAGTGAAAGGTCGTGTATGTCCACCCGTCTAGTCCTTGTCAGCTATAAGGATGACATTTTGTTTGCCCCTGCTCTAATTAGATCACATCTTGGGGAAGGAAAAGCGTAATGCATAAGTCTCTCTCTGATATGCCATGGGAGGAACCCCGAATAAAAGCAGAAGGACAGCAAAGAAACAGACAATGCCTGCACATCTGCCTTCGCTTTTGCTACAGCCACCCCAGCAAACAACAACGCTATGAGCTGCAATACAGGCACGGTGGAGTCCCTGGCGACCTCCTGCCTGCAAACTCCAGCAGGGCTGTATCCATCACACTGTGAGACTCCCATCGGAACAGCGCTCCTAGTGAGATGACAGCAACAGTACAATATTCCAGGCGATACAATTTTTATGCATCTTAATTGTAAGTCGCACCTGGATTTCCTATTATGTTGTCATACCATCCAATAAGACAACCATAATATGGCTATAAAATAGATATTTCCTCATGAAGAATTTAAGCTCATTTCAAAGTTTAATTAAGACACGTGAATTCCACTTACCAAGGCAATAAAATTTATTATAGTTCCTTGTTATCACTTGTGATTTATCCTATGAGACACGGAAAAAAAGAATCACTCCTCCTGAAAGGAAAAGTACTTTGGAGACACTTACTATGTTCTGATTTTCAAATAATGACTTGGGAGCAGCCTGGGCTTTGCACGTCTTCAGGTAGGACTGCCAATTAAATTCTTCTTCTTTATACCCTAGAGCGAAAGCACATGCGGACAGACTTAGGAAATGCACGAAGCATTATCAGCTAATTCCCAGTCCTACTCTGCCTGTAGCTGGAACATGTTCAAATCAAGCAACCAAATGCCTTTTTTCAACACATACAATTTAATCCACAATGGATAACTCTCTATTTTTTAGATACAGGTTGTGTTTACCTTCAACAAACTTTGTTATTATTTTTAATTCTAAACGGATATGGTAATGGACGTAGAGAAGAGGAGTAAGGAAGCAAATGTATTTTGAACCTTCCTCAGAAGTAGGACTAGTGAATGGGAGTTATCATAGTCCTCATTCCTCAGTTTCCCTCACCTCGTTTACTTTGAGAGACTAATATGAACAAATAGGAAGTTGGGAAAAAAAAATTTAGTTCTTCAAAAGAAAAAATGGGGGGGGGGTGTGTGTGCGGATAATCCCAGGTTCATCAAGGGTTTTGATAAATGACAGTAGGAGAAAAGTCCTTGTCTAACATTGCCAATTCATCAGTCAGCATCTCCTTATGAGAAGGGAATTCCTAGATGGACTTTTATGCATCTCAAATGCCATACTGTCTTCAACTTTTAGTTAGAATGCAGGGATGCTAGCCTACTATACAATAACCTCTTCAGGGCTGGAGCATAGTTCAGTGGTCAAGCTCTTGCCCAGCATGTGCAGGGGTCCTGAGCTCCATGCCCAACATTGCAGCGAGAGTGGACAAAAGTATCCAACTGATAGCTTGAATTTTTGACCTCCCAAAAAAGTTAAAAAGAAGGAAATATTATTAAATACATAGGGGATGAGCTGAAAGTGATAATATTTGTTTTTTTCTGGGGGGTGTTTTTTACAATTATAAAACAGGTTTAAAAAAAAAAACAAACAAACCCTGGCAGACTGTAATATAAAGGGTTCTACTGGGTATGTTTGTGTGTGCCTATCTCAACACTCAGGAGACAGGAAAGCGGTGAAGAGTTCATTTTGAGACAAGGCTTCGTGTCTCAAAAAAAAAAAAAGTAAAAAGCAAAGCACTCCATTTTAGCTAGGGGCATAAATCAGTGTAAAGCACTTGCTTAACATGAATGAAATCCTAAGCTTGATCCCTAGCACTGAAAAGTAATTATTATTAGCCCAACTATATATCTATGCATGGTAGCTTTCAGTACTATATTTTCTTCTGCAGTCTCTAAAATATCAAAACGTATAATTTCTTAAGATACTCATATTCATTCTCTCTCTCTCTCTCTCTCTCTCAGGTCCTGACCTTGAACTCACTTTAAAGCCCAAACTGGCCTCTAACCCATGATTTCCTACCACAGCCTCCCTAGTACTAGGATTACAGGTGTGTGCCATCATATCTGGCTTCTCAAGACTTTTTCATATAATGAAATAGCAGTAAAACTAATGTCTCAAATAATTTTATTCAATGCTATGTGTATATACGTGTATGTAGTTACACATATATACAGATAAAACAGAACTGTATGTAAAAGTTGTTTATAGTCAAAGATTATTATTATTCAGGTTTTAATCTATATGAAAATATGTATATGGAAGTAATTCTCTTAAATTAGATTTCTTTGGCTTTAATAAACATGTTTTACATTATGAGCAATAAACTTGACATAATTTTCATAAAAAAATAACTTCTAAAAATTCCAAGTTAGCATCTAAGAAAGTCAGATTTTACTGAATTCGAAGCACGAAACAAAAAGTAGCAGTACCTTTTGGAGGCTGGAGCTTATGGCTAGTTTTCTCACACCACCCCACCGGGTGGATGTCCAGAGCATCTGCATTTACCCAGAAGTCATAGCAATCAGAATATCCATCAAAGTGAAGCTTTATCCGATATCCACAAACCTGAAATAGGTAAGCAGGTTCAGTAAGTTAAAATACACATACATATACACACATAATAATAATAATAATAATAATAATAATAATGATAATAAAATAATAATAATTAACTTAGGTATCAGGTATGACATATCCTTAGTGAGGTTAAGGAGATGGCATTGTCAGGAAGGTGATTGCCACACAAATGTGAGGACCCCACAAAAAGCTGGAGGCTGAGTGCAGAGCTAGCACTATGACCCCCGCAAAAGTGCAGAAACTGTAGTTACTGCCATGGAAAGGCCTCTAAAACAGTCTGCTAAAATTCAAGTGGCAGAGAAAATTATACAAGGTGAGTCAGTCTGTGAGAAAACCATGTGTGCACTTACATATATGTTGTACATCTCCTTCTAAAACTGTACGGTCATTTATACACATAATTACATATATATATATATATATATATATATATATATATATATATATATATATATATATATATAAATTCATAAAGTCTTGAAGAACATGACAAAATACTGACAATTATTACTTCTGGGAAGTGAAAAATCAAAAAGGAAGGAGCCAGGTGTGGTGGTACACACCTTTAATCCCGGCACTCAAGCAGGCAGATCTCTGTGAGTTCGAGGCCAGCCTGGTCTACAAAGAGTTCCATGACAGCCAGGGCTACACAGAAAAAATTTGTCTCAAAAAACAAAACAACAACAATCCGCTCCTCTTAAAGGGAAAGAGCAAAGAAAAGGAATAATGTCCTGTTTATGTTTTACATGTTATAGCCCAGCAGTGGGATCAGGATCCGTCCCTGGTGCATAAATTGGCTTTTTGGGGCCCATTACCTATGGGGGGAACACCTTGCACAGCCTTGATGCAGAGGGATGGGCTTGGTCTCCCCACAGAAGACCTTACCTTTTCAGAGGAGGGACTGGAGGGGGGGTGGGTTGGGGGGCAAAGTCTGGGGGTGGGTGGGAGGAGGGAAGAGAGGGGAATTTGTGATTGATATGTAAAATGAATAAAACATTTCTTAATTAAAAAGAAAAAATATTCCCATAGAAAAAAATGCACACATATATAGCATACACAAATTCACAATTAAGCCTACTCCTCCCAGGATTTAGAGTCCTAGGCGACACTGAGGTCCCCGGGGAATGCAATTTCTCAGGAAGGCTGAGGGATACTCCCACCCCCACTGTCTCAAGCCCAGAGGGAGCTCAGGGGCCTCTGGTCTACCCTGTCTTGCAGACAGCTGTCTCTGCTCCCCTCCTACAAGTGACGCCATTAGGTAGTTAGTCATTTATAACCCCTGTGGTCACAGTCCTCCGAGCTTGTCCTTCTCAACTCTCCTGTCCTCTGCAATTCTGTGCTTTGGTAAACAACCTCCTATATCTTCAGCCTCCCTGCCTAGAGACTGCCTTGCCTTGAGGCTTTCCATTCTCCACAGTTGACTCCTGTAACCTCTTCCTCCAAGGCCTGGGCCACAGGGTTACACTGTCCTTCACCCTGATCATCCTCAGTCCTATACTTCTAGAGTTAGCATGTCCCCTCTCATTAAGTCCCTGAGTCCCAGCTGAGACCTCCTCTCCATTCTGAAGACTTACATAGCTTTCTTTCCTGTGTCAGACATACACTCCTATGGAACTGGTTTCCACCAGGAACTATCAAGCCTTTCAACTCCTACGTTAAAGGTCTAACACTCGGAAGAAAGCCTCCGTATTTCCAATTTCTGGCCCACTTCTTCCCAAGATTCCAAGAGTGTACCCATACCTAGCCTAGTGAGTACTTCTGGGAAGGAAAAAATAAATCACTTTTCATTATTCATATGTTCTGTACCTATGAATTCACTCGCTTGTTAAAATTCATTTCTAACCCAAAATAATATGCTTGGTGCTGGTAGAGATGTGAATACAGAATGACAACAATATGTGAGTCACCCAAGATCCAGGTTCCTAGCAGGGACTGGCCGGGTCTTCTTGTTGGGACTGTCCTCCTATGAACAAGTACCCTAGAGACTCTCTGTTTAATACCGTGTTTTCCACATCTTCAGCCTTTCTCTTGGTCGTTTCACTCATTAACCTCTAAGTGCCCAGAATGCTATGATGTACCTAACAGAGGAAATGTGTGTGTTATAGGAGCTTTATTCACGTGTGCACTGATCTGCGCTTGTTGATGAATGAGAATTCAGTTTTAACACAACAACAATATAATTAATAAGGAGTCATCAAACAAAAGCAATTATGTGTGCTGACCAAAGCATTGTGACCAGAGGCTCGTAGGAACCTAAGCCTTCATTTCCTGCAGGAGCAATGGTTTCCGTGAGCTAATCTGAGGGATTTAATAACCTGGAGGAAGAAGAATGGAGTCACCAGAATCAACCACCTGGTGGTAATCCCAGCACTCAGGAACCTGAGGCAGGAGGGTTTGTGAGGCTGGATTCTGCATAGTAAGACTGTTAAAGAAATCAACTATGAAGGAATGCTGGGCTGTCTCCACTAGCTTCCTTTCTCATTATTATTCATGCTAATCTCTTCCGCCTTGCCACCCCCCACAGTTATCTCCATTTCTTTGACAATTGTTCAATACCGAAGTCAAAGAAGTTACCCTGTCAGCTTCCAACAGGCAAGCCTGCTGTGCTCAGGACGCCAGCCCTTCCCCTTTCCTCCTGTGCAAGCCGGGAGACACTGCTCCTTGGAGACACTGCTCCTTGGAGCAGGGCCCGGAAGCCCCCAGGTATCAGGACTCCATCTGCTCTTTTGCCCTCTCAGGGCAGGGGGTAGATTGAAATAAAGACAAAACTGTTATTCAGTCATAGGTAAACAAATCCTCACACATTTTTGGTGAGATTTAAGAACTGATAAACCTAAAATGGCCTCAGCAAGAAGAACAGGAGATGGAGAAGCCGCTGCCCTGCCTTGCCCAGTCACGCATGCAGTAACAGCAACACGTATCAGAAACAATGTATCCATAACTTTTCATTCCGTCAGAAACAATGTATCCATAACTTTTCATTCCGGAGTGCCAGGGTTGGTTCTTACAGATACACAAAAGCAGAAACGAGAGAAGATGAAGGGATAAAAGACTTCATTCAAGAACATAGTTGGTGATGTTGGGGGTAGGGTCAGGGTCCCACTATGCAGTCTAGCTTCAAATTCACCATCCTCCTGCCTTAGAGTAAGAGATGCCCACCTAGTTGAGATCAATATGCAAGCAGGTGAAATGAGCAAAAGCAATCCTGTGGGACAAGTGTTAGTCAACTAATAACTGCCCACATTCCAGGTTCCTCCTCACCTTCAACCAGCTTCAACTTCCAATAGTCATCACTAATGGCCGACCACTAGCCTCCATCTTTGTATTTTCCCTATGCGCATGCTCCATACTCCACCCCCCCACCCCAATAAAACCCAGCATCATAGTCTGGTTTGCTGCGGTCTGTTTTCCATCCCTGCTCAGAGGCAGCCATTTTGGTCCCCCACCCCCTAATAAATCTCTTGCAGGAGGTCCATTGCATGGTGTGATTTTTGTGGCATTCCTTGGCCCCAATCTCCAAGATACCCTTTTGCAGCAAAACTCTTTCAACAAGAGCCCATGGTAAAAAACTAAATATGTAGATAGGTCACAGAAGGAAGAGGCAGATTATGCAATTTGATGTTCAGAGAAGGCATCTACTAGAAGCAAGCAGTAACTGATAAGGGTGATGCTTTCTGGGATTTAGCAAGAGGTGGATGGGACAGAGATCGGTACTCTTAGACTCTGAAGTTTTCAAGAAGAGCAAACAGCTTTTATAATCGAAAATCTACAGTAAGTAAAATAAACCTTCAAAAAACAAGAGTCAGGGGCTGGGTTTATAGCTTGGTGATAGACTGGTTGCTTAGCAATGTGAAGCTCTGGCTTCCATCATCAATACCACAAAGAAGAAGTAAACACAGGAGTTAAAATCCACCCCTCCCCCCAAGGCCCTTTCTCTCACAGATAAATCTCTTAAAAGCAACCTAGGTTTACTGACTCAATCCTGTCTCCAGATCCATCCCTTAAACACTGAGGCCCAGGACACCAGGGGCCCAGGACACCAGGGGCCCAGGACACCAGGCTTCATCTTCAACAACAGCACCTGGCCTTGCTCCTGCTCCCTCCCAAAATCTACAAGACAATCAGTCAGCACAGGGCGCACAGTATGCTCCAGGTAACTATAGTTACCGTGACCACCTCACACAATCATGGCACTCTCTGTGGTCTGCAGGAAGCCAGCTTCTTACAATCCAGTCACTGAAAGAACTCTACAAAAACGGAAACTAGTGCCTACACCTCACTCCTTTGGGGAGAAGATTTTGAAAGATCCATAAGCCTAGTTCAGTGGAAGAAGTAAGGAGGCTGCCACAGGAGGAAAAAGAAATTTAAAAAATACTCTTAGCAACATAATGGACACAGTGTGTGTGTGTGTGTGTGTGTGTGTGTGTGTGTGTGTGTGTGTGTGTGTTGCTTCCTTCCTTTTGTCAAGGAACATACAGTATGGCAAAGTCTATGGAATCAAAGACGGACATCATTTCAAACCCTAGGTCCACCACCTTGAGACTGTGTGGCCTTAGACCGATCACTTGACCTCTCTGGTTTCATGTCCCTCCTCTGTGAATCAGGGCTGAAAAAAAAATTATATGAGCTGCACAAGACATATCTCACAATGATCAGGAGAGATAATACACATGAAAAACACTGAGCATCCTGCCTCACAGGAAGTGAACCCTCAGCCAAGGACATTTCTTCCTCATCATTACAGCCCCACAGCCATCATTTTATTTTCCAAGCAAATACAAGGCAAAGCTCACCTCAGCCACAGTGAGGACACAGTACACAGACTGATGCTCCGGGTCCACACCTTCTAGCTTCATACCGACTTTGAATCCATTTTTGTTGTATGGGAAGGACTGGTGCTGTAATACAAAGTAACAGCAGCATTGTAGAACCACTGAGACTAGCTCAAAGTGTGAACAATTTCTATTCTTACAGAGCCCTTAGGGCTACGGATAGGACTCAGTGGCTATGAGCTTCCCCAGCGCAAGTAGGGCCCTACGTTCCATCCCTACCATCCCAAAGATGGATCTCACCAAACATATAGATTAATAAACAGTTCCTTAAAATCCCAAAAGGAAAGGGCTAATGACAGATGAAAAATTCCCAAGGGCTACAAACAAGTCATGAAAAAGAAATCTCATGATTTATAGCCTGTGTCTTTGACAGGTTTGAAGAGACAGTCAACTCTGCCCATCAGAATCACACAAGATCCATTTCCCGTTAGATTGGCGAAGATCAAAAAGCTTGATGGCTCTGTGCTGGAAGGCTCCATGAAGGCAAAGTTGGGCACAGACCACTAGAAATGAAAGTCTGGACAATCAGTAGCAATTTCATGCTATCTACAAAAAGCTGAGCCTTCCTCGGCAATTCTGACTCTAGGGAATTACCTAACGGAGATATTCATAGATATGCAAATGTTAGGTGTGCAACCACATTCACTAAAGCATCTACCAAAAAAAAAAAAATTAAAAATATGCATTTGCCTGTAAACCAATAGAAAGCAACTTCAATTTTTATGGAATAAATGTGTTTAAAATACTATGGCTTATCATAAAAAGAAAGATGGAGGGAATCAATGACCTCAAATGAAATAATCTCCAAACTATAAAATTAAACAGCAAGTCTAACAAAGTATGGGCCAGCCATTGCCACTGTGGGTTTTTTTTTTTTCCCTTTTTCTTTTTTGGTTTTTTCGAGACAGGGTTTCTCTGTGTAGCTTTGTGCCTTTCCTGGAACTCACTGTGTAGCCCAGGCTGGCCTTGAACTCAGAGATCTGCCTGCTTCTGCCTCCAGAGTGCTGGGATTAAAGGCGTGCACCACCACCACCTGGCGCCACTGTGTTTTAGACAGGGCAGGGAGGTGCTTATATTTGCTTATGACATTCTAGGAAGGAAACATAAGAACTAGCATACTGGCCCCTTCAGCGGAGACAAAGCTGGTGTTTAGAAGGACAAAGTCACAAGGGTCATACTTTATTGCCTTTCAGTACTGACACTTTAAATCATATGAATGTATTACTATTCAAGCAATTCATAAAAATGTGAAAAAGTGGGGATGGAGAAATAGCTCAGTAGTTACAGGCACTTGCTTCTCTCACAGAGGCTCCACATTTGGTTCCCAGCACCCACATCAGGTAGCTTACAACCTCCTGTACCTTCAGTTCCAGAGGATCTGATGGTCTCTTTAGGCTTCCACAGGCAACCACTCACAAACTCACATACATTATTAAAAACAAATCTTTTTTTAAAAATGTGAAAGGCTATTCTGTAAAGGACCCAACTCATAATTATCTGGAACAAGTTGTAATTACTAATACATTTGCATGAAAATTCTCAATGCTGATGCACTCGCTCTAATGTTCGCTATACTTTCCTTTGTTCATTCATAAATAGAAAGATAGCCACGGGAAGTTTACAATACATTAAGTGATTCAAATGAAGGGTCAGCAAACTATAGTCTGTGTGTCAAATCGTGTCCACCACAGCTTTGTAAGTAAGATTTTACTGGCACACAGCCATTCCTGCTAATTTACATGTTATCTGTGGCCCCCTTCATGCATATTATGTAACAAGCTCTATTCTTATCAGTAATACATCTGGCAAACCATTTTAAATGTTTCTTAACAGGATGCAAATCTCAGTAACTCACTTTCAGTCCCTCCTAATCAGACATGATATGGATCTACTGGTGTTTCAGTAATAATACTCTGATAATGAAAAGTGAGTGAAAATTTGGGAAAAAATTGTAAGCACCTGTGAGTGTGTACAGTGTTGTAATAGCTGCCTTGAGGGATCTTCCGCATAACATTCTCATGAAAAACAATATACCTGGGTTGGGGATTTAGCTCAGTGGTAGAGTGCTTGCCTAGCAAGTGCAAGGCCCTGGGTTCGGTCCTCAGCTCCGACAAAAAAAAAAAAAAAAAAGAAAAAAGAAAAAGAAAAAAGAAAAACAATATACCTGAAACATTATCCCACATCACACTTCCTAAGCAGATAATGGAAATGACCATAGAGCTTTCCTGCTCCTTCGCCCTTTACCCACAGTGCTTCTAGAAGGACTCATACCTCTTTGAACAGCTTTGCAGGAACTGCCACAGCCTTCTCCTCCTCTAGGTAGGATGCCCAGCACCAAGTTTTCTTGCCTTTAGGAGGCAACCCTGAAAAACAGTATACCAAATGATGGACTTTCCAAAGCTAAGAAATGAATGAAATGTTCCAGGACATCTCTCTTGCGCAAATACGATGCTTTCTGGCTCTTCCCTTTCCACGGCTGATACTTCTCTCTTTTTCTGGTTCCTCTTCCATAGAAACAAGAACTGAGACATGAACTGTGGCATAAATATCCACTTGATGAAGACAGAAGAAAGTGGAAGAACTTGGAATGCACGAAAAGCCCGGGGGGGGGGGGGGGGGGGGAAGCCCAGAGAAGCTACAGGAAGTAAAATCCTCCAGGAGCAAGATGTTTAAGGGTGCTGTTTGTTTCTTTGGTGTCTAGAAGCTGAAGACCGAGACAGGGCTGGTGCACTGAGTGAGTCGGGACTATCTGCTCATCTTGGAAATGTGGTGAAAATCATACTCATTAAGTACAGAAGCTGCCTATGTAATAAAAACCAGAAGGATCTGGATTAAATGTGACAGACAAAGAGCTGGCACAAGAGAAGGGATGAAACAGGTTGACCAGTAGCAACACTGGAACCGCTTGTGGGTTCATTGCGATGTGCAAAGTACGCAGGCAGTTCACACAGGAAGGAAACTGAAACATTTAAGGGAAAAAAAAATGACTGGAAGGACAAGGTCTATAAGAGCCGAGGGTTTGGAATTTCATCCAGAGCAGGCATTAGGAGGAGAGAAAAGAAAGGCTGAAGAACAAGGACATTTCATGTAGAGTAACTACGGGATTTAATTTATTTCCCTTAATCACGGAAACAAACAAACAAAAAGGCCATCTGAAAGGATGCAGAAGTTCTGCTGTGAGCTAGAGACAGGTGGAAGGAAATGTTTACAGCTCCTTCTGGGGGATTAACAGAAGAACCAGCAAGGAGTGCCTCCAAGCGCAGAGAGGGAATGATGGGTCACTGGATTCACAGCCCTGTCTTTCAGGGAAGAGTGGAAACGTGCAGGTTGGTAGCTGGGCTGTGCTGGTCAGAGTGACCTCGATCAAAGGCCGGGCAGGGCAGATGCATTGGGCTATGTGTGCAAGGCTGTGAGGAGCTTCTATGGAAATGACCCAAGGTCCACACCAAAGAAGAAGAGTTTATCCAACGAAACAGCAAAGAGGAAGAACTGAGAACTGGACTTCCCAACAGAATCTGGCGTGGCCAAGGAAAAGAAAAAAAGGGGGATCACATGGGAAGAAGACAGCACAATAAAGTTAACATCTTGGGAAATGAGCAAGAACAGGGGTTTGGGCAAAGGGGTAGAAGCAGGAACTACCATCTTGATGCATAAACCAGTAAATGAAAGAAGGTATTCCAAACATGCATGGTAACAACTTGAAAACTAGCTACTGTTCCTTTTCTAAGCTGCTTTCTCTAGCCTTTGTTTTTATGGAGGAAACTGCACCAAAGAGAAACTCAAAGGAGTGCTCTGTGGTGGTGTGGAGAAACATAAAGACTGAAGCTGCATCTCTGAACTCAGTTTTCAGGGCCACCGAGTCAGCACGGTTTTTACATCATCAGCTCACCCTGCTTTAGGACAGTCGAGTCCCCGCGTCTTTTCCTTCTGGCTCTCTGGGAGCCTCTCAGGATCCGTCCATCTTGTTTGTTCTCCTACAGCAAGAAAGGAAAAATTTTGGCTTCACAAGTTCATGAAATTGGTCTCAAGGAACACTTAGAGGTCTGTCAAAAAGCTTTCTGCTGTTCATATTTGCTTCCTAACTTTTAAAGCAGTGATAGGGTCCACTAGAGACCTTGTTGCTTTTGAACTGAGCCATTGGCAAAGAACATTTCCAATTGCTCTCTGAAAGAGTACAAGCCCCGCTCCCTCCTCCTTAGAATATGTCCTGATCTTAGCTCTATGAACAGTGTCCTGCTGTTCCTTAGATCTCTTTCTTTAGGTCTTTTTCACAGGCTCTCTACTGATGTCTACACCCATTCAACCCCTGCTCCTCTCTAGCCCATAGGTTTTTAAGGTCATTTCTTTGAGTGTGAGGAGGGCTGTGAAGGACATAAAGTGGTATTGAGATCAGAGGACAACCCTGGGTGTCATTCCTCGAGCCCTTTCCACCTCCCTGTTAGACAGGCTCTCCTAGGGACTGGAACACTTCATCAGGCAAGCTAGGCTTCAAGCCAGTGAGCTCCAGGGACCCCCTTGTTTCCATATCCTCAGCACTGGGATTAGAAGCAGGTGCTATTGCACCTAGCTTTTTATAAGGTTCTGGAGATCTAAACTTGGGTCCTTATAGTCACAAGGCAAGTACCTTACTGACAACCATCTTCCCACCCTTCAAGGTCATTTGTATGCTAAATAATTTCCCCCTACATCTCTAGCTTCCTTTCCCTGACTCCATGTGTCTGTGTTTGCCTACCTAATGACTTTGAGATGTGTAGGTAAGAAGCACAAGAAACTCTGCACACCCAAAGGCCTCCTGAGTCTTTACTCCACCCTTGCCTTCACATTCCAGGCATGTATTCAATCCAGGAATTTATGATTCATAGAATCCCTGACTCTTCCCTTTTCTTATATCCTCACAACCCTAACTCTAACAGAATCACCTAACCTCTATCTTACTCGGCCCTCTGACCTAGCGATTACAAGAATATCTAACTGGTTTCCCTGACTCTACTCCTGCTTATATAGGTCACAGCAAACTGGTCAAGCAAAGAACAAGTCAGACCACAGCAGCCCCTTGCCTTTAATTTCCCAGGGTCTTCCCACTACACTCAGGAAGCCATGAAGTGGCCCCGACCCAAATCACACTAACCTCCGCTTCCTCATGCCCCTCTTCCCTAATCTGTGCACCTCAATGACTTTTGAGAATGCCCTCCAACAAAACGTGCTGCAACTGATCCCACTTTAGGTATTCTCACTCAGAAGTTGTATTGTGCAGAGGGCTGAATGCGCATAGCAGATTCCTCCTGACTGTTCACATCTTAGTGTTCCTGTCTTTTTAGGAGCTCTCCCCTAAAATCCAATCTAAACCAATCAGTCAGTCCTAATGCTCTACTTTAAATACCAGCATAGCACTACTCAGGACAAACTGGCATCTCTCTGGTTCTTTTTGTTTGTTTATCATGTCTCCTTAGCCAGAACACACTGTCTTCATGAAGAAGGACCTTAATCCTGCTACACGTCTTATTCACCTCCACATTCCCAGTCCATTGAATAGCATCTAGCAGCTAACAATTGCTCAATAGTTGATCTTGGGTGAAATGCTTCAAGACCTCAAAGTCCTCTGTTCCTGTAGAACTACTAATACCTACTTCAGGGTGAAAGTAGTTACATTCCAATGAATGCATGCTGAATGATATTTTTCCCTAGACACACTAGATAGTTACATGTCATTTCCTATCCACTCACATAGTTCATGAGATCTGTCTACAATTTACCAAAATTGTATTGGCATTTTGCTGGTAAGAGAATTTGAAATTCATCTACAAAACTTAAGGTTTGATTGTTGCTTCTCATCCCAGTAATAAATTTCAGGACATCCAACTTCTGAATACTGATGGAGGGATACTGTTACTTATGATTCTCATTTTTAGATGGTGATAGTGAGGCATAAAGTGGAATGGGATCTCCTGACATAAGTGGTCCCTGAACTAGCATTATCTAACTCAAGTAATTGACTCCAGAACAGATCTGGTGACTAGACACCCCAAGAAGACTGCCCATGTCTCTGAATAGACACACAAGGGCTACTAACCATTTCATCATCTCTGTCTTCTCCATCCTCCTTGGAGTCAGCTTTCAGAGATAATTTTGGTTTTTTCTTCCGACTACACTTAGGATCCTCGTCCTCGTCTTCACCGCCATCTCTTTCGTCCTTCTGATCTCTGTTGTGTTTATAACCCCAAAACAGTGACAGGAAAAAATGCCTATCAAATATCTACATGCTCATTATTGATGCAAAATTATTTGAAAAAATTACTCTCTAAAGGAACATTTAATTACTAAGAGAAATCCATAGCATATAGTATGTGTAGAGAACCTTTAAAATCATGTTTCATAGATATTTCTGGGTAAAAACAGAAAATTATTTTATATATTAGCTTCAAAAGGGAACTATCAATGTATGTAAAATGGATTCTAATGGGTTTATAATTATTTGTCTCCCATAATAATAAAAGAATCAATTATGTAGAGATATATGTTTCCAGGGCAATTTGAAACCAAGGAACTAACAGTTTTAAGATTGGCAAATCCAGTAGAAAAGACCGATTATAAATTTGTAAAGAATCCCTTTACCAATACAAATATTAAATATGATAGAAGAGAATCTCCAATAAAATACAAAAGTCAAGGGGCTGGAGAGATGGCTTGGTGGCTAAGAGCAATGGTTGCTCTTCCAGAGGACACAGGTTCAATTCCCAGCACTCACATGGTGGCTCACAACTGCCTGTAACTACAGTTCTAGGGGGAACTGATGTCCTCTTTTGGTCTCTGAGGCATGCATGTGGTCATAGACATATATGTAGACAAAACATCCATACACATAAAAGTTTTTTAAAAAATTAAACTAAAAAAATAAATGTCAAGTTATTTACTTTGTCCTATGTTATAACATGCAAGAAACACACCTTTTTGCTCCTAAGGTGCACTTTATTAGATAGTCCCCAGATGGGGAGGTTGCACATCACTTACTGCATATCCACTGAGGTCATCCTACAAGGACTTATTACATTATCTACTATGGACATTTCCACGGAGGACCTTAGTTCCCCATGTGGAAATAAACAAGTGTGTTGTCATAAATATCAGTAATATCCTAATGTGTGCATAGGTCAGAAACACCTAAGTACTCTTCACTGGAAACAATCAAATTAATGTAACAGTGGTCGATTATAGAGACGGAATACTGCTACTAGAATAGACCTTCCAGAGAAGGCACTAGGTCCAATGGAGAGGTCAAGGGTCATATGTCACCAGAGAGAAAGTCTAGCAAACAGGTATGAGAAGGGGACAGATGTCCTACGGCACACTTAATGCTCCGTCTCCTCGGATACTATGATCTGGAAGTCTCTGACCCATTTCATAGATGGAAGGGAAGGAAACCTACTTGTCTTTGGCATGCCGAGCACAATTCTGGCTGCAATAGTTTCCTCCGGAAAGACACTCATCTCCATTGCCATACTGACAACAGTTCTCACAAAACTGAAGCCCATCTACTTTTGATTGATCCTTCAACCTGAATGGTACCCCAGTCTTCTCTGAAAAGACTAGAAGATGGGGGAGGGGGGAAAGAGAAGAAATTAAAACCATGTCAGCAGGCACTTCAAAGTATATGTAAACTTTCTCTTCTACTAATTTTGTTAGCGACACAGTAAAGAATGATGTTTGTTGAATGAATCAGTGATTGAACTAAAAAGTTGGGGATGAGGGCTAAACACAGCAGAAAATCAGTTGAATCACTTCTGTTGAAAAAAAAAATCTAGATAGAGAGCCAGGTGCGGTGGCTTTCACCTTTAATCCCACCCTTTGGGAGGCAGAAGCAGGTGGATTTCTTTGAGTTTAAGACCTGCTTGGCTTAGTGAGACTCTATCTCAACAACAACCAATCTCCAAAAAGGACAAACAAAATATTCACATGAGACCTACAGAGTTAAACATGGAATGAAAAAAATTTCATTAGTTACTGAATTTCAGATAATACTATTGGCCTAAAAGTTCTAATCTATAGGTGGATCTTTGCTAATGCTAAAAAGGTCATCTAAGTTACCTCATGTTTATAACATTTTGATGAGTGATTTTAATTTAATTGATTAAATCAACACATGTAATTTTAATGTAATTGATCTCCTGGATCATAATTACCCAAATCATTTAGGAACTCGTATTTTCCTTCTGCCTGAATCATTCAGCAAACATTTATTAGGCACCAATTTATGCTGGACACTGATTATGTCAGTGCAGACCTCGCCCAAGACAGCTCACAGTCTAGAAGAGAAGCCATACGAGAAACCCAGGACTCCTAATCATGTGGGATGCATGCAGTCATAGAAGTTCATAGAAGTACAAGCAAGTTCTAGGACTGCAGAGGAAGAGGTGATTCATTCAGCCATGGGTAAGGTCAGGAAAGGAGTTTCTAATGTAGCCCCTCAACAGGGTTTTAAAGGCCAAAGAAAAATAGACAAAGAAAGAAATGGCATTTGAGCCAGAAAACAAAAAACAAAAACAAAACAAAACAAAAACAAAAAACAGCATGAACAAAGGCAGGGAAGTAGAAACCATAGGATGACTGGGAAAATGACATGTAGGTCCGTGTTGCTCAAAGAGCCAGAGAAGAGGATAGAGTAGGTAGATAAAGCAAGCAGGTGGGTGCAGGCCACCTGATCTTGGAAGGCTTTGCTAGGGTGGCAAAGAGAAATTAGCAAAGCAGCAGGTGAGCAGTCTACACAAGTCCCACTGACTTCAGGGTGCAGGATAAACTGGGAAGGGGTGAGTTAGAAGCGGTGATTATTTAAGAGACTTCTGCAGTAGTTTCAGGGAGAGTTAGAGGCCTAAATTAAGGCAGTGGCAGTGACAACAGGAAAGGCCAGATCTGAGACTTGTTTAGGGAATCAAAATCAAGAGCATTAGGGAACAGGGAGTAGGAGGGGCGAATGCAGGATGACTCCTATATTTCTTGATTATGCACCAGGGAGATGGTGCTACCGTCAGCTGACATACAGGTTACGGAGGAAAGAGTAGGTTTAGGGGAAGGGAGAAAGAAAAAGAGAATGAATTGCATTTCATACATGTGGAGTTTGAGGTACCTGTGGGACATCCAGGTGGAGATGTCCAGTAGGCAGGTGGAAATACGGGCCTGGAGCTCGGGGGAGAGGTCGGGGCTGGAGATATAGATTTTGGAGTCGTCAGCATATAGATGTTAGTTACAACCATTGGAGTAGATGAGGAAAAAAAAAAAGTGCCAGGCTTTCTGGCTAAATCACCTAGGCAGGCCATTAGCAAGTTGGATTTACTTGATAATTGGCAACTAACCTCGTGCTATTACAGATCTGGCATTAGAAACAAGACAGTGTATAATTATTTTAAAATGTAAAAGCTGGTTCCTGTCTACTGCATTACAAAAATTTATGTAGGGACATGAGACACAAAAGTAATCCAGGGCTTTCGAAGTTTGGCCCTCCTCTAAAAGTTTAGACATATTTAAATCTCTCAATAAGAAGAAGTAGGCAGTGGGCAGTCCAGCCTTACCCTCTTGAGCAGTTGGGACCATCCAAGTGGTGGTGGCAGTTGCTTTCTTGACACTGTCCATCTCACTTTCATCTGTGATAACTTCCAAAGCTCCAAACTCATTCACCCTAAACTGGCAAACAACACAGAAGGAAAAAAGAAGCAAAATTTACAAAATTCCTCAGGGTGTTATCGATTTCATGACTGACCCGCAGTCTTTAAGCAAATTAACCACGTGCAAAGGGTAAAACAGTCCTATCTTGGATAAGCGTTTTAGCAACAATGAGCCCTTTTGTTTTATGAATTTTGGATCGAGGAAGACTGGACCAAAGTAATAGGTGTCACTTCTATTTGTCTCCTCAGACATGTTTCCACTAAGATTTTTATTTACTTAATACTACTGTTTATTTAGCAAAGCTACTAGAGGGCAAGTCTCTTTTTTTCCCCCAAGGAATTGATTCATCTCACTAAAGCTGACCAAATTCAAAGAGAAGGACATAATGGCCTGTCACCTTCCTCCTTGTAGTCCAAGACAAAAATACATAAACCATGAGATATTGTGGTGATATATTGTGTACCCTAATAAACTTGCCTGAGGATCAGAGGACAGAGCTAGATTAGACATAGAGGCCAGGCAGTGGTGGCACACACTCTTAATCCTATCACTCAGGAGGCAGAGATCCAGTGTGGATCTCTGTGAGCTCAAGGCCACACTGGAAACAGAGCAAGGCAGTGGTGGCACACACCTTTAATCCCAGTGCTGGGAAGCATACATGCCTTTAATCCCAAGAAATGATATCTGGGCAGAGAAAGATATACAAGGCGTGAGGAAACAGGAACTCAATCTCTTGAGGCTGAGGATTTTGTAGAGGTAAGCTAGTGGCTGGCTGTTCTGCTTCTCTGATCTTTCAGCTTTCACCCTGATATCTGGCTCTGAGTTTACTATTAAAAATCCTTTTAAGATTCGTGTTACAGGATATTCCCTCCCCAGGAACACTTCCCTTTTCTTTCATCACCCTCAAAGCTTCTCCATGCACTTCAGTCCCAGTTTTCCCAAAGAACTGGGAGATAATGGAGAAATCACTGTAAGAGTAAACAAGTCTGCGACATGCCATTTCATCACTAAAGAGGAAGGTCATGGAGTTCTCATGCCTGGTCCTACAAGCCTCCTCTCAACTTATGGCAGCTGCAGATAAAGCGGGTTTCTGCATCAACCCACTTATATTTACGTGGAAGGCTTAATCATTGCTATTATACTACGGCAGGGACCCTGTTATCTCTCAGATTCAAGAATTCATGGATCTAAATTTTTTTTTTCATTCCTAGTTTCCATAGAACAGAATGGTTGTCAGGATTCACAGGTGTTAGCAGGAGGAAGAGGGGTAGAAAGCTCAAATGTGAAAGGACAATAAAATGTTTCAGATTTTTCACTCAGTTATATGTAATTTCCACACTCATTGTATAAAATTATCAAATACTTCCTAGATTGAAAGAATTGAAATAGTTCAGGAAGGAGAGAATGTTTTCTCCCTATTATATATTCTGAGAACAAATTCACAAGCAATGTGTGTAGTATACCTAGTGTCCATGTCAGTTTAGAAAATTTAGAAAAAAAAAAATTAATGTCACGAACAAAAACTAAAAATAACAACTTAAAAAAAAGAAAGAAAGAAACCTTAAAGTTCAAAAAAAAATTAACTAGCAACTCTTCAAAATAAGGCTGACAGTACCATCTACTGGGCAAGAGTCGCTAAAACAAGCTACCAAGATCATTATTTAATGATATTAAAGAATGTGATACAAAAATCAATTCTGAGTTCAGATTATTTTTAATAGACACAAATGATGATTCACTTAAGATGAATAATTCTGCTTTCATGACTTGCTATCTATGCTAATGTATGCTCACTTGACAAATGTAAGATGTGAGCAATAGCCCCAGACATTTAGAGAAGACAGAAAGGATCGTAATGGCTGCTACACTGCAAACCACCCTGCATTATACACGCCTGAGAAAGGACGCCAGACCTCTGGGTGAAAAGTGCAGGCCTGACACTCACAAGGGTTTGGCTCAAATACCTGTAAAGTTCAAAGGTCGGATGTCTGCAAATGCAACATTTAATCTTAGCCACCTTCTCCTTCTGCTAACATTAACTGCCATCATTGACAGTCTAAACACAAAGTAGACGCGCAAAGTCACCTGGGGACACCACGAACAGCCGGAAGCCAGAGACCAAGGATGGACTTCAAGGACTGACGCACAAAACAGGCGTAAAATGAAGCTATGTGCGCACTTGTGAGACTAGGATTCATAGAATTCACTGTACCCCGAAAGGCACCCTAAAACTCTAGAACTCAGAGCACATCTGCTCATTCCTACAGTCACTCAGCTCAGAAATCAAAACCCTCTGAGAACTTTCAGAGCATCCCACTCTTCGAGAAAAGACAGAGGGAATCCATTTTGCTGTGGCTTCTCAACCTGGATTTTGTGTCTTTCATGACATTCCTAATGAAGAGAAATGTTAGGAGGAATAGGGATGCTGACGTGACCAGAGGTCCAAATACAGAATTCCAGAAAGACTGATGCATTTCCTTTTGTTTCCCCAATTAAACACATGGGTCCTCCATGTTTTTATGAATGACTTTGGCATGCTATGAAATTTCTCATGTGTTCCATTCTCCAACTGAAAATATCAAATTATAAACTTTACAAAAGTAATTCATTAAGCAAGGCAAACATAAAGTTGGCAGGGCAGCTTTTTCTACACATGAATCTATCCAGGTCAGTAGAAATAAATAAATAAAAATAAAGAATTATGCCTCAGGTTTTATTTATTTGGCTTGGCCAATAAAACAAATTATCTACTTTGCTCTTTATTTTTGCTTCTAGGGGGAAAAGCTCTTTTCCCTCTTTGGGGTCTCTTTACTAATAGATCACTAAAAGACTCTATTGAGATTATGATTTCCATTTTATTACTTTCGATGATGAACCCTGAATCCCACTTACCAAGATGTTTTAAGGGCAAAGATGTCTGGTCACTAAACTGTTTTAAACATTCATTGAGACAAGGTGAAGCCATGCATTAGGAAGAGGGGCTGGATTTACAGCTGGCTTCTGCCTTGCTGTTACAGGTCTGGCTCTCTGATGAGGAGCAATTATTCTTACTAGATAAGATGCTATCACTCTCCAGGGAGCATCTGCGTTTTACTGAGGGACTCTGAAAGACTAACTCCTTCTGACTCAGAGGACTAATTCTCTCTGAAGAAATATTTCAGATGCCATTAGATATTCAGGTAGAGAAAGGACTCAGGCCTGGGGAAGCCCCACCCGGTACCTTTCTACTGCCCGCCCCTTAGTCGCCTCTTCCATAGCTAACCTCTCCTGTAGACATTACTCTACTAAAGCTTATTTGCATTTTCAAAGAACAAATCAGGTAACGGCAAAATTCCTGAAGCTGGTTAAGGTAGAAATGCCATGATAATGACCACAATCTTTTTTTTTTTTAGCACCCTGCCTGCTAAAATGACTCTGCCTCTGGAAACCCTGCTCTGCTCTCTTCCCTGACACCTTCCAAGAAGTCTTCACAAAGAGCATTTTCAGCTCAAATAATGCCCGATTTCTGAAGGCTTCCTGGTCCCTCCCACCCAAGGAAGTTCCCACCTCTCTACATGTGTACCGTTTTCCTTGTCTGTTGGTCTCAGTCTGCGAACACTCTGCCTGTAGACAGACAGCCATGCACTAGTGTCAAGAGAGTCAGTTTCAATACCATCGCAGTCTCCTCCACCCCAGAGCTGCAATAACTGACTTGAGCAAAGGAATAAACACTCTGGTCCTCAGTTTCCCCATGTGTAAACTGACCAACGATGGACAGAAGGAGCTAAGTGAAAGGAGGAAACACAGTGCAGGTAAGGTGCTCCCTCGGAGAGTCAATTTCCTATTTCTCTCACTTCTGCACCCAAAAAGATGGTTGTGCTTTATTTCAAAATAGTACGGTTACGTGGCCCAGTGTGGAGAGGGCAGAACATACCAGTGACAAGACAGAAACACATGCCCAATATAGGAGAGAGGGAGGAAATAAAGAGGCACTGAGGTAAAAGGAGATGAGGCCGGAGAAAAGTGGGGGCCAGAAAACCAAAATCCTTCAGGAGCTCAAACTTGGACAATGGTAACTGCTCCAGAAGTTTCACCAGAAAAATGACATTGTAATTAGCCAGCAACCATGAGGCTGTCACAGAGGAAAGTTCTTTCGAAAAATCCACAGAACATAAAACCTGTTCGCACAACGGGAAGGTGACCTCTACCTATGAGGCCAGGCTGTATCAGCTGGATAAACTTGAGTTGGGTGACTTAGGGACCAACTGTTAGGAAATCCACGTGCCTATAAATTCACAAATCATTGAAAGGCAGCATCCTGGGTGATGTAACGTACCCTCCATGATATGAGGAAGCAAATTTTATGAATTATTCAACGCGTTAACATTTTAGTTTAGTAGAAAGTTATTTCCTCAACCTTTCAAACAACCCCAATTTTGATGTAAGAAATGCTACGCAATATAGTCCATGAGGTGGTGTTATGTGGCAAAACTTCCTAGGGAGTCACAAAACACACATCTACTCATCCCAGATAGGGAGCCCACGACAGACCAAAATACCGACACTATCAAAGTTCAACTTGGTGAACACATGTTTTTATTGGGGTTACTTTCAGAAGCAAAAACAGCTCAGACAGCTGCATCACCAAAGCCCACCCCAGCATGGGTGACAGCTCACAAGGCTAGGAACCTGGAGCACACTAAACAGCTTTCAGGCAGCTCATCAGTTTGGAGCGTGGCCTTTCCAGGTGCCTCAGTTGGTCTGAACCTCTTCCAGGCAGCTGTGCTGATTTCTGCCTCTTCCGGGCAGCTGGTCTGCTCTGACCTTTTGCAGCTCAGCTCTTCTGAGAATTTTCTTTGCAGCTTGACACTTCTCTTTGGAGAGGGACTCTAAGCTTTTATTGCTTATCCTGGCAGAGAGAGGCCTAGTGAATCTGTTCAGTTTCGGGGACTTCCTGAAGCTATTTGAGTGGTTTAGCTTCCTGCTTAAGGAATTCCCTGCAGGATGGTATGTTTAAATCTCATAGGAAACTGTTACACAACAGATTGGCTATGAATCTCAATTTAAAGGGGTTATAAATAATATATTTTATGTGTGATAAAGACACAGAGAGACAGAGAGAGGTGTACATGAGTGTTGTATGCACACACATGCTGGTGCACACACCATCCATACAGAGGCTAGCATGTCTATGTCCTGCTTGTCCCTCGCCACCTTATTATCACCTTGAGAAAAGATCTTTCCCTAAACCTAGTTAGGCTGGTGGCCAGAAAGTTTCGGCAATCCTCCTGTCTGCTCCCTTTCTCCAACTGGCCGCTTCGTACATGGTGCTGTGGGTTCAGATTTAGTTCCTCTCAGGTCTTCTAAGTCACCTCCCCAGCTCTTCAAATCATTTGTTAAAACGAGGTATCAAACTGTTTACTGCTCATGAAGTAGATGGGACACATCGCAATTACCCCAGTAATTACATGAGTATAAAAGTCCTATCAAATAACCCTGATTATAATACCCTAAATGACTTAATTACCTGATTATCTTAATAGAAATAATAGGTTAATTTCTAAAATCCATTGCTTAAAAAAACTTTAAAGCAATCCAGATTTCTTAGGGATGGAAACTCCCCTTTGTTACCAAAAGCTAATGAAAAGAAAGTTATAAATTTCATCATGTACCTGACATGCAAGAGGCATTATACAGTAAAAATGCACAAGAATAATATGCATATGAAATAATAGAAAAAGGCAGTTTTCATATTATATCGCAAAGTCCGAAAATGCATACCCTAAGTGTTTGTTTACATTCTTTATCAGTCCACAGCTCCTTTTTACAGTTGTGAATCTTAAGGATCCTAACAACCCCCATTTTTTTCAGATAAAGCTTACAAAGTGTAAGGATTTTAAGTAATCAGTCATAAGACTTACTTTATTATTAGTTATGTGTCTGTGGCTGGGATTGGGAAGCTGTGAGTGCAAGCACCCTTGGAGTCCGGAAGACTGTTGGATCCCCTGGAACTGGCCTTCCAGGCAGTTGGGAGCTGCCCAACCACACTAGAGTACCCTGCAAAAGTAGTCCATGCTCTTAACTGCTGAACTACCTCTCTAGTCCCTGACAACTTGACAAAATTCACATGGCTAATATATGGAGGCTAATACATTATCAGGGCTTGAGAAAAAAGTTTTTTTTAGTTAAAAAAAATAAACAAAAAACAAAAAACTTCAGCCTTCTATATCTATCATGTCTCATGCAGACAGACACTTGGAGAATGTCAGAGCAATTCAATTCCTATTTGTTCTTGTATTTATTTATTTTACTGCCGAGCAATCTTGATCCTGAAGGATTAACTTACTCCATGACTTGTCATCACATAAAACTAAAACTGAAAACTTCTTCTTTTTAATAATTTTAAGTGGATTCATAGTATGTGCATATTTATGGTATGCTATTTCTACATATACCTATAATATGTAATGGTCAAATGAGGAAATTAGCTTTCCTACCTCCTCAAACATTTCTAATTCTACATATTAAGAACCTTTGTAATCTTCTTTTTTAGTTATTTTAAAGTATACCATGCATTACTTTAGACTATAATTGCCTTATGGCATAAAAGAATACCAGAATTACAAACCTCTGACTATATTTTGGTACCCATTTAAAAAAAAAAAGTTTCTTTGGATTTCACTAAACCTCACTGCAATAGTTTTATTTCATACACTGGCACTTTGTACTTAATTAAACCTAAGCCAACTAAACTCTCAAACATTTTTCCAACCCAGGCAGATGTTTAAATTGTACCCCTGAGGATAAGTGAGGGCAGGGACTTGGCTAAGATATTTGTCAAGCAGCCATCAAAAGGATTAGATTTCAAGAAGCCTAAGTTAGGAGCAAAATTTTCCTATTTGAGACAGCACAGCAAGCACATCAAGTGTTACAGAGACAGGCCAAGTGACAGCCCGTTAGAGAGACAGAAAGTTTAAACACCTAAAGGACCGAGTACAAACACAAAGTCTAAAAGGCCATAGACAGGTTCAAGGTCCCAGAGATAGGAACACAGCTAAACCAAATTAGAAATGAGAAGTGGGGGTGGTTGGGTTTGAGCTTGCACAGCTGTGTTTCATGGAGCGGCAGACAGAGGTAGTCCTAATGTAGACTCAATGGGGCAGGGCACATGTGGGCGGCACATACACATCAGGCAGACAGAACCCCATGAAGAGTGGAGAGAGTGGGAGACAGCACACATAGAGTTAGCAGACTGAACCCCATGAAGAACAGAGACACACAGTGGACTAGCACGTATATAGTGAGTAGACTGAACTCCATCAACAGTGCCCTTTTTTTTTTTTTAACAGTGCCCTTTCTATAAGATCACAGTCTGATGCTGGGCGGTGGTGGCACAACCTTTAATCCCAGCACTCGGAAGGCAGAGCCAAGTGGATCTCTGTGAGTTCGAGGCCAGCCTAGTCTAGAATGAGTTCCAGGAAAGGCGCAAAGCTACACAGAGAAACCCTGTCTCAAAAAACCAAAAAAAAAAAAAAAAATCACAGTCTGACTTATAGGAAGAGCTTGCTGCTGAAAAAATGATTATACAAAAACTCATGTTCATAGTATAAGTAATTTAAAGGCAGTGAATAGTTCTATTGATTCAGATTTTTCATATTATTTTACCCGGTTTCTGTATAAGAACACTAGGACCCAGGGAATGAGGTTATACACTCAAAGCTACAAAGCCATTACTAAAATATCCAAAAAAAAACTAGACCTTCTAGGTCTGCCATTTCCATATATATTGGCCATTATCATAATAGAGTCAAAACAGATAGATGATCCTCCTCAGAGCTACTGATTGATTTTCTTAAACTAAGGACATTCTAAACATATTCTTCAGTCCCCTAGCCCAAATGACAAAAATCTGACAATCTATCAGTATTTCAAGTTGTCTTACAAATTTACTGCAGAAGGCCATATACTATCTAGAGCCATAACACCATATTTAATGCTTTGAATTCTTATTCCATGTATGCAGTCACTGTAAAATAAGCTCACACGCAGATACACACAGTAGATAATTCACACATGACAAAGAAAATCTACCTTTAAGTCACTTCCTGGTAAGGTACCAACTCCATCCTTCCAGTCCATAACACTGAATACGTCAAACTCTTGACCACTTGTGCTAGAGGCAGACTCAGTCATGATTTAGTTTTTTTAACCTGGAAGAGGAAAAGGGGAGTGTAAATATTTCATGTGCACATCATTTTGATTTAGTGCTCATTATTACTTGTTTCTTTTAATGACATTATTTTCTTGATTCATCCATCTAGAAACAACTGCTTCAAAAGTATCAGTAACGGGGCTGAGCACTTGCCTAGCATGTATGAGGCCCTCCAAACCCTCTTATATTATGTTTCTGTTTTAATTTGTGGTGCCAGAAACTGCAACCAGAGCTGGGGGAGGCACTCACTGTACTACTGAGCTATCCCACCAGCTCTGTACAATTTTGTCCCCAAGTATACATTCCTACAGTAAACTTTAACTTATAAATGAGACACTGTAAAAGGTTAAGAGCAACAACTGTCAGTGATTTGGCATGATTCTCTTTCCTTGTTAAGGTGAGAATCTTCACCTTTTCGTTTAAACAATAAATGACTTCTCTTTGGCATATTCAAGTCATAAGCATCAATGCTCTTGCAGCTGGGCATCATTGGTGAGTAAAATGAAGTTCACTTGAATACAAGCGTGGTGAACCTGGTCAGTCAGTCTGGTAACTGTGACAGCCAAGTCACCAAGTACCTAAGTAGGGGAGTGGGGTAGTGTGTACAGCATGGACTTGCTGGACCCAAAGGGGACTCACTCCTAAGCAGAGTGAAATAGGACAGCCTCAGATCTTATGCTATGCAGAACAACATTTAAAACTGATGGACTGTTTGTGTCTGGACAGTTCCATTTAATATGTTTGAGTAGCTGTTGTCCTCAAGTAACTGAGCCCTCGGTTAACTATAATCTCAGAAAGTGGAACCGAAGACAAGAGAACTACTAAATAAAAAGTGGATTTAAAAGTGGATTTTGATAGTGGGAAAATAAAAGCAAAATTGAGTCCATTATTCACTGTCATCTATATTAACCTATCTACGTGTTTGACCTACTAACACAACAAATGTGAATGTGATTGTTTCAGAACAAGATGTTTGTTTGACTCAGTTGAAGCATCTACTATGACCCCCATGGCTTCCCAATAGCCAAGACTTTGACAGAAATGAGCACAAAGTCTAAAAGACTCAATGAGCTATGATGAGATTTGGAAGATTCACAGAGTCCATTGGAGAAATGTTCTCCGAATGACTAAGGTCTACTGTTCCAACACTGAACCCAGAGAATGGATTAGTTCCAACTCTCAGATCAATATGTTTGAATACAGGGTGAAATCTCGGTGATCAGGTTTCAACTGCATACCAACCTACCTTGAAGATAAACCACCCTTCCTGGAGTTTTGTTGTGATCAAAGATTTCCACTATTACTGAAAGACTAGTAAAATATTCCTCTCTTTTCCAACCGTGTATCTACATGAACCCAGACTTTCTTCATATACTTCAGCCAAAACAATAAACTGGAATAGACTAAAGGCAGAAACAGCTGTAAGAATTCAGCTATCGCCTGTAAAACCAGAGATTAGACAGATTTGCAGAAGTTGAAACTATGCCAACTTCTCTCATTTTTATTAATATTATTAATATATATTTATTGCTCTTTCATAAAAATTGTGTTTATATGAATTATCATATAGTGAGTTTACTACCATTATTTTTTAAGTAAGTAATCAATCTATTTTAACACAGTATCGATATGCATAGGATGTTACAAAAATACCTACTTGAGTTTTCAATCATGAAGGATATTTAAGACCAAAAAGTCTGAAAGTCACTGCTGTGCAGAATAGTAACTTGCTTCTCTCCATAAAGAAGAAATTGAGATTTTTTTTTTTGTTTGTTTTTTTTGTTTTTTTTGTTTTTTTTGGTTTTTCGAGACAGGGTTTCTCTGTGTAGCTTTGCGCCTTTCCTGGTACTCGCTTTGGAGACCAGGCTGGCCTCGAACTCACAGAGATCCGCCTGGCTCTGCCTCCCGAGTGCTGGGATTAAAGGCGTGCGCCACCACCGCCCGGCGAGATTTTTTTTTAAGCATTCATTCATTCATTCATTGAGTGTATGTGTATCTTTCAGGGTACACACATGCCACAGTGCATGTGTGGAAGTCTGACAATAACTTGCAGGGAGTCAGTTCCCTCCTTCCATCATGTGGATTCTGAAGGTTGACCTCAGGTCATCAGATTTGGTGATACTGAGCCACCTCTGGCCCATCTTTTATTTTGTTTTTTCTTGAGACAGAGTCTTGCTACTATGCAGGCTTGCAAACTCATGATCTTCATGTATCTACTTCCTAAGTGCTAACATCACAGCTACATTCCACCACACCAGGGAGTATGTTCTTTTTAGTGGGAAGTGCTTTACATTTTAGTGACACAAACTAAAATGGATAGGTGAAAAGACATGTGAGAAATCTGTCTTAAACTAATCAATGGAGTCACGTGGCCAAATAAAACCAGTGTTGTGCTGGGAACTGTCCAGATGTGGGCAGGGTCTTTGGTGACTCATTCTACATCCTCAATTTTACATACGCGTAGAAGAAATAGTTCAAGGTGTTTCATTTTTTCTTTAGACAGAATCTTGTTATGTAATACACTATCCACAACTTGCAATGAAGCCCAGGCTGGCCTTGATCTTATCCCCCTGCCTCAGCCTCCCAAATGCTGGGATTCCATGCTTGCTCCCCCATGCCAGCCTCAAGACTTTTTAAGTGTGGTCCTTTAATATATGTCATATGCATTTCTAAATAGTGTGTAAAAACTCTGTGCTTCTTTGAATGAGAGACAATCTTCCACGGAGAATTTCCAGATGTGCCATATTCTTTCTGTCTTCTTTGCTCTAAATAAAATATCAACTAGAAGACATTTCAAACTGTATGTAGTGTGAATCACAAGAACCAGATCTCACTATTACTGAGGCTTAATTCTCAGAACAGGAACTAGGCTATGGTTGTCAGGGGAGAATTATGTGAGAAATTTTGAAAATATTAAGTGAATTAAGCTTTCTTATATCACCTAAGACCACAGGCCCAGGGGTGATACTGCTCTCAGTGGGCTGGACCCTCAACATCAATCATTAATCAAGAAAATACCCTACAGACTACCCTAAAAATAATCTAATAGATGTGATTTGTTTTTGGTTTTTGGTTTTTTTTTTTTTTTTGGTTGGTTGGTTTTTTTCTTCACAGCTCATTCTATGTAGCCCTGGTTATCCTGAAACTCACTCTGTAGACCAAGCTAGAGTCGAACTCATAGACATCCACCTGCCTTTGCCTCCTTCCTGAGTGCTGGGATCAAAGGCATGAGCCACCACCCCTGAGCTGGAGGTGATTTCTTAATTAAGGTTCCTCTTCTCAGATAACTCCAACTTGTGTTAGGTTGACAAACAACAACAACAACAACAACAACAACAAAACCTAGCCAGAAGAGGCATGCACTTAAATTGTGAATAAACTTCCCATGGACTCAGATCGCAATGGCACTGGCTCCCTTTGAAGTCATGTAAGAGTGGTGTTTCCCTGACAGAACACTTTCCCCTGCTGGGTAAACAGTAAGTAAGCAGGGTGTTTAGTCTTCCCCTACCTAAGAGCCATGTCAGTACAAACTCCACAACAGTAGAACAGTAGAACAAGTCTGAAAGTCGGCACTATATAAAAGTTGTGGTAAATGTTCACCGTGTACATTATGAAATGCCTGAATATGCTTCTGCTTTATACAATATCAACATTACACAGCAAACTCAGCCCTACCTATGTATTCATCAAAACTCGCAAATACAGTGTCCATTCACGTCTTTCACTCTAAGGTCAGTGGAGGTGCTGTATAAGCTATTATAGCAAGAGACATTTACTACCCTGTCTTTCCCATCATCTGATTTTGAAGCCCCTGGCTACTCTGTCACAAGGAGTCTGAAGAGCTAGAACAGATTAAATGTTTTCCCACCACCTACTACTCAGGAAGAGCAGCAGGCAACCAACACTTCACAAAAGCTGTTTCTTTTATGACACCCAAGTCTTTCTTGTTTCATTCTTACCCTGTGCCCACGGACACACAAACACACAAAGGCCTTTACTTCTCGCTCCTGCGGTGGAGGTCACCTGTGCAGCACTCTCAAAGGTTTTAGATTTGTTTTCTTTCTTTAATTACTACTTGATATTATTTCCTAATTCTATGTATAAGGTAAACTATATCTACAGTGGACACACACACACACACACACACACACACACACACACACACAGCGAGAGAGAGAGAGAGAGAGAGAGAGAGAGAGAGAGAGAGAGAGAGAGAGAGAGAGAAAATAAAAGCCACAAACAGCATCTCACTCTGCAAGAATGCCATTCCCAGTCTCTTGGTGAACAGCGCTGAGATTTCCTCAGCAAGTACCACAGATGTGCACCATGATAGGTGCTACCAGGAAAGAGACAGTATTTTCTTTCTAACCTGTCCTTTCTCAAGCTTTCCAGCCATGAATGATGTTCGATGGGGCACTTTGGGGGTTCAGATGGCCACCAAATATACCAGTGAAGCTTTTGATTCTCAAAAGTATCTATGTCCTGTTGACCATGACAATCAAGGGCATTGTTGCCCAGCATGCTTTTGCCAATGACTACTATGGACGCCTCATCAAAAAAAAAAAACTGATGGCACTTGCTGAAGTAAAAGATTATTACTGCTGGCACCAATACCATACATTATATCCTAAAGTCCCCTTTTGTGAACATTTCAGCTTTGCCCACTTCTTTTACAACCTTCTTGACCTAAGTTTCTAGGGTAGGGTGACACATGGCAGTATCCTCAGAATTACCTCCTGTCTCTCTCTCCTCTACCACTTCCTGGTCTCCAAATCAAAGCTGTACAACTTGACCCTCCCTTGAGATCATCTACCTATTGAATACACCACCTCAGTTTCTCATGTGAACAAGTCTTTGGTAGCCCCAGGCTAATGAATCTTTCCCACAAGATGTTAATAAAAGTATTTCATTACATGTTAGTAAAACTAGATTTTTTTTCTTCCTTTTTCTCATTTGTTTGTTTTGGGAGGAATGTATGGACTGAGATTGAAAGCTAGA